AATACCAATGCATCTTTTTGGTGCTTTTATATTGGTCATCTGCGCTGTTTTCACAGTTCAAGTAAGTTTCAATAGATTGTTTTCAAATGAGAAAGATCAAATATGAAGGTATTTTCTACAAATTATTTCAAAAGTTTGTTTCAGGCTTGTAATTCAAGACCGCAGCCAGGGCCACCAGGACCGGATGGACCGCAGGGAAGTAAAGGAGATCGAGGAGTACAAGGGAATGTAGGACCTCGAGGACCGAGGGGAAAAACTGGATCCAGAGGGGCAAACGGGCCAAAGGGAGGTATTGGCAGACACGGACCGCCGGGAGCACAGGGTGACAAGGGAGACGCAGGACCCCGAGGACCAGCGGGAGCAGCAGGATAAAAGCAACAGGCAATGTAATTTGTCGGAAATATCGAAACAGTCTTTCGTAATTCTCTTTTGATTTTTTTGTTTGACATATCACAAAATTCGTAAACGTAAAATTTTTGTCGTTTCCTTTATAGAATTTGCTTACAAATGTCAGATTATCAACAACAATGTATGAGGAAAATCCGTTAGCAGGTGTAGATATTGTTAATACAGTAGCATTGTGACTCGTATTGTGACCCGGGATAATAACGTTGTAACGGCATTGGCTAACAGTGTTAATAGTCGTATAGCTGCACGACATGCAATACGAGAATCTATTGATCATATCAGTTATCATCTTTTTAAAGAAATATTTAGAGAATATTATTATTTTTTTCTCAAGATATTTCAATTAATGTAATTAGATTGTAAACTAAAGATTAGAGAAATATTCTCTCTTTAACACTAATAATATAATATTCTCTCTAAAAGTTACTTTAGGATATTTCAAAAATTCGTTTTCTCCTCATATAAACCCTGATGTGTTCCACTGTAATGCGAAACTATAAATTCAAAATTTAGAAATTATGTAATTGTCCTGAAAATTTTTTTTGTTTCGTAAGAGCAGATTACTATTTCACAACAATTACAATTGAAAAGGTTATTCGAAGGAAGAATGGAAAAAGTGACATAAAGAAATTAATAATCTGATTCCCGATTTGCTTGGCAAGGACTTAGTCTCGAGTCGAGCAAGAAGTACCCGATTAGAGAGAATCTCACTCGATAACTATATATCCGTGACCATGTATATATACCCAATATTAGGCGGTGCAACGACAATCATTTAGTTGTATAAGAGATCAATAGAGATGTCACAAAAGATCACGCAGATATACATGAGATAAATCAATAGTAGATCTTACGAGAGAATAGTTGGGCAATGTGATGTGAGGAGGAGAAGGAAAGAAGCGATGGGAAAGAGGAGATTGTTTGGTTATTCGCTAGCCGCATTCGTTGTTATACATAAAAAGAAAGACGGAGAACATGTGATGGCGGGAAATATTGGTGGGCAATAACTGTGAATGACATTC